GGGGGGGGGGGGTGCCATGTGCTTCAGCCGTGTAGCACGCCTGAACCAGGCGAACTTTTTAATTTAGCCGTGCTTAATATTAAGTGCAGTGCTTAATTGATTTAGACGCCGTGCTTCTCATGTGCTTAATTCATTGTATTAAGTTCGGCTCATGAAAAGCACGGAGTCTAAACCGGGCCTAAGCTAATTGGAAATCACAAATCATGGCTGTGAGGGAGCTTGTATACCCGATACAAAAAATCATGCTCATTAGATAAATTTAAAGTTTATTTTCCTCACCAAATATCTATAGAGCTGCATGCACTTATCATTCAAAAATCCTTAAAACTCAAAATCTCCTCCGAAGTCCGCGGAATCCCTCTCATATATAATCCCAGGAATTGCATCAAAATCCCAAAAATTGAGCCAAATCATCTTCCAAAATCCACGAAAAAATTTCCAAAATAACCAGGTTATTGCATGCAGGGATTTTGAAATCCCAAAATATACCCCTATCATCAGATATGTCTTTAAGATCATTGAAAAATCTCATGACAATATTCTATATATATTACATATCATATATTACATGCATGGAGACACGATATTTTAAAGGGTTAGATTTAAAGCTTTATATTGTTTTGTTTTAGACGCCGGAAGAATTCTACAGAGAAAACGCATCGTATTCTCAGCCGACAAAATTCACGCAGTCCTTTAGCAATGGAAAACTTTGGGATTTGTTCCGAGTAAGTGTGTGTGTGTTTGGTAGTATCCCGTTGTATCTCCTTATCTAAATATGTATATATGCATATATGGGGTTCTGTGTATAGAGTTTGTTTCCTGTTTTTTTCAGAAGCACGGACAAACCTTGCGATGCCAACGGCAAAAGTATTAAAAGTATTCAAGATGATGAAAAGGTTGTTTTCGAAAATCCTTTGTATGAAGAATTCAAAACGTCCCAAATGTGAAGTTCGAAGAATATTTTGGCAGGAAGTATACTCTTGTTGTTTACTTTTCGTGGGCGCGGTCTTTCTATTTGTTGGAGACGACTTACCTGAACTTGTATTTTTTAAACAGAGGGCAAACTCCACGAATTAGTTTCCCTTATTATTAGTTTTTTTCGGGCGAAGACGCCCAAGCTATGATTTAGAGCACAACGTAGTTCAGTTGACTGTGTTATTGTTGTCTAGGTATATATTTATCGCTTTCAAGCCGATGTCATGTGTTTTACTGTACAACATCCCCGTGCAGTGTCAGATACTGTTTTGAGTTTTCGATTGATACTTGGCGTTCTATTTTCACAAGGTGGCTGGGTTTTTTCATGAATAATAGGCAAACTATGTTATAGGCTATATTTATAGTTTCTGAATCATTTAATTATTCCTTTATCATTGTCGACTTGTAACTTATTGTTATATACAAAAATAATTTGGGTTTTTAATTTTGCATTTGGAAAAGAGTTGACGAAGACCCAACATGGTCTGGTAAATTTACAGAACTTTTTAAAGTTTATTACGACATAGAATTTAATAGAGGTGAACTGCGTGCATGACGAACAGTTACTTATACTTATAATTTTTGAATTTCAATATCAACATGCCAAAAGTTGTTGGCAGCTAATGTTAATAAATATAATTTTCTGTTTGAAATTCAGACTAATTGTATCCCATTTAAGCGATTCATATGAGGACGATATACTTGAAATAAGTATAAATAGACCTTATTCATAAATCGTGATCGAGGCCTCGTATCCTAGGATACTGGAATAACGCGGGAAAATTGACAAAATGTATTTTTGCTGTTGGCTATGGCAGCTTTTTTTCGAAAGTATTACGGCTTTTTTCGAAAATGCTATCTATAAAACTGGTATGTGCTAAAACCTTGAGGATGGACAGGTTTTTAGCACATGAAATACTATCAAAATGAAGAGAAAATTGAAAATTGAAAATTTTCTAATGGTCCGCCCCTAAGTACAGTAAGTAAGGTCATTAAGGTGTGTCAAATTGATAGTATAGTGACGAAGTGATAGCCGGAGACTGAATTTGGAGACTGAATTTGTTGAAACGGCTGTAGCTAAATAAAAATAAATAAAAATAAAAATAAATTTAAAAAAATCCAATAAAACCTGGACAATGGACTTCCATCGTCCACGTCCAATAAAACCTGGACGATGTACGTCCATCGTCCATCGTCCATGGACGTCCATGGACGTCCATCGTCCAGGTTTTAGCACATGCCTATAAAACTAAGCTTAAAAGTTGAAGTAATACTTCCGTAAAAATATAACATGATATTTAAAGACCATGTAAAGTCGGGACCCGACCATTGGAATGTTAATATTTCGCACCTTCCGAACTTTTTTGAGTTGAATCTCTAGTCATTTTGAGTTGAATCTTTAGTCACATTCATTTACAAGCATATAGCGAACCAGAAGAGTGTTAAAAATTCAGTATAATATATATCTAATCACATTTTACAACTGTAGCACTGAGTTCAAAATGTAAACAAAGCGTTTGTTTACATTACACATTAGTCATTACGGACTTTACATGGTCTTTAACGTAAAAGATGTTAGAGTCAGTCGGAAAAGTCGGAAAAGTAAACCTTTGTATATTGTCGTAGTTTGTATGGCCAAAAGGCAAAGCGAACAACCAACAAGGCTACAATTTACAAAACGTCTACAACACTAAAATCGTAAGAAATATGAAACTATTGTTGAGGAAATAAGATTAAACTCACTCATGTAATGTAGCCTTCATTTTTTAAACTTGCATAGCTGCTTGCAGGGTGTCATCCAGCCACAGGCATAGTTCATATTTTTCCGTACGAATCAATAACATTTGACGTTCTAGCTCTTGTGATTTTTGACCTCTTGATTTCTTTCATATTAATATCAAATTCAAAAAATTATACTCATGCGGGGCGCCGGAGCCGCGGGGGCAACTGCCCCCGTTGCCCAAACATTGCGGGGGCAGCACGGGGGCAACAGGTTGCCCTTTTTGCCAGAACTGCGCCTCAAAATTTGTGCATTATTCACAGAAATTGGAATTTAGAACTTAATTGTTATATATAAGCAATGTTTAAAGATGCGGTACAGTCCGTATGTTAACAAAGGCTTTGTTTACATTTCGGTATCCAAAATATAGAATTTTATTCGAAAACTATTTATATTTTCTTGACTCTAGAGTATGATAAATTATCAAGACACAACAATCAAGCTTTGCAAGAACATAAAATGAAATAAAAACGTAACTAAACTGTTTGTATAATAAAAAGAGGGCCCGATCCTTTGTGCACATACGCAGATTGGACTGTACAGCATCTTTAAGCAATCTTTGTTTAATTTTTAACCAGTTGTAGCAAAATTAATGCTAAATCAAGCAATATACGTTCGTTTACTGATTTTATTTTGCGCCTTCAGCACGGTGCAACGAATAAAATTGTTCAAATTAATGTCGAAGTTTGCCGACACATAATAGCCACAAGTAATCGAGTATCCATACAGTAAAGTTTTAGCAAATATTGCTGCCCAGAAAAATGAAGTGCCATTTTGAAATGGCTGCCCCCGCCACATTGCTTCCGGCGCCCCTGATTATACTTTCATTTCATAGTTGTCTTGATTTTTGATGGAATAATGGAATATATCGACGTTAAAGTCTCAGTAAAATACTGTTTTTTGTTTCTGGATAAACATCATCGCTACGTTGTCATATTTTCCACACAAAAAACGGGAGAAAACCCGGTCGTTTTTATAATATACTCGTTTACAGCTTTCGTTGTGGGCACAAAGTTTTAAAATACACACAAAAATCGTTATAAATCGAAATAAGAAACAAGAAACAAGCCGTTAAAGTCGACACAATAGCATCTGAATTTGGTTTGTCAAGCAGTTTTCGCTTAATGTTTTTCCGCGTTTATTCCCGTTTCCTAGGATACGAGGCCTCGATTGCGAGGTTAAAGAGTATATATTGTCAATGTCTGCATATATGATTGGCCGTCGAAATGTCGAAGTTCTGGTTGTATTTTTTCAGGTAGTTGTATTTTCTCTCTCAATCCGCAGCTGTCTTGTTATCTTCGCCATCTATACACTGGTACAGACCGTTCGAAATCATGAATAGGCCCTGAAGCTCATGTACGTACACGATGCGATCAGTGTTAGGCCCTGTTTAACATGAGACCGGAACGAAGTCAAACCGGGATCATTTCGTTTCGGTCATAGTATTATGTGCCGAAGGCACGGAAAATTTTTAAATTTGAATCTCGGAAATGCCATTTGCAGCATTCTGAGACACTCATAATCAGAAAACCCAGAATTCCGGGCGCCAGAGTATGCCTGTTCGCAGGTGGTGCTGTGAATAATATAGTTAACAACAAAAATCATGACCAAAGACACCAAAAACGGATCAAAATTGTATTTTAAAATACTTAAAATGTAGAAAAATTGGGAATCGACTCGCATTACCTCAATCCCATTCCCATTTTTGAGGACTTCATTTCCCATTCCCAGTGGCCAAATCCCAGTCCCAGCAACCCAAATCCCATTTTCCCAGTCTAAAAATAGATCAATCCCAGTTCCCATTTTACCCCTTCAGGACCCTCGCTAAAAGATGGGAGCCGACGTTAACGAAGGTAAGTTTTAAATATTGATTTTATAAAGGCTTTAAAAGCCGACGGCTTTTCCGTATATGAAACAACAAACAAGACAGCATATAATTTCGATATATCTTTAATATTGATTCCCTTTTTTATGATGTTGAATTTTTTTAAATAAAAAAGAAAGCAAAGTTATTTGCAAGCGAAGATTTGAAATCATATAATTGCAAACTCAAAGTTTATCGATAAAGCCATTTTATGGTTACTCCATATGATGAAAACTCTGATTCCATCATTTTTTACATTTTTATATATTTGAATTGAGGGGCTGAAAATCTTTCGATCTTCAAAGATTATTTTCAAAAATATTAAAATGCGACCGAGATTATAACTGAAAATGTTTTAAATTCGAATAATTTTGCCACGAAAATAGTAATTGTAATTGGCATTCTGCTAATTGGTGTGAACTCATTACCGGATCCGCATGCAGGTGAGAAATATTGTAACATCTGGTTGGTGTAATATTTCTTTGATACTTTATTCACAACAATAGCACAGCGAAACACACTGTAGCGGTAGTGAGCAATTTTTAGAAAGTTAAATTAAAGCTTGTATAGTAGTTATACGCGAGTGCAATGCCTTTGAAATCAAAGAGGTATAAAAAAAAACACAAATCCGTTTTGCTCTAAACGAAAAAGGAAAAAATCCTTTCGGCAAATGGAAGTCGATACGAATAAGAAACGAGTGCTTGCAGACAGTGACTTGGGCTCATGGTTTTCCCAAGACCAACAATGGCCCGAACAGTTTGAGGATTCCGCAACTTGTTCTTCAGCAATGACTCAGACAGCAACAGCGAGTGCAAGTGTAAGAGGAAGATAGAAGAAAGCATGAAATCGCTTATCGAAATAGTCACTCCGCAGGTTCTGAAACTTCTGATTCAGACCAGCAGTTTCTCAGCAGCGAAGACGAGGGAGGCCCAGAAAGAAGTTCTGGTTTTTCAAAACCTACTGAGAACTACATTGTTACTACTGGCAACCTGCAGTACATGTTGGAACCTTCTGCCGTTTGTAAAGTTTGCTACAGCTCGCTACAGATTGTGGAAAAGTTGGGATCCAAGCAAGGTCTTGGTGCCAAGTGGAACTTTCGTTGCACGAATGAATCATGTGTATCGAAAGAGTCGAATGAATCCTATCCAATTTCGCCAAAGTCCAATAAAATATACGATGTTAACCGTGCATCTGTTGTTGCTTTTCGGGCCATTGGAAAAGGACGATCTGGTGCGCAAAAATGCTTTAGTTTTCTTGGTCTCGCGCCAATATACACGTGGGACAAACACACAATAGTAATTGAGGAAAAGGTACAGGATCTAGCCGAGACGGATTTCAATCATACTTCTATGCAATTGAAACAACTTAAAAGAACGGTGGGCGAAGTTGCAGCAAACCTGACAGATCAAGAATTGGGAGAAACTGTTGTTGATGTCGGTGCCAGCTTCGACTGTTTGTGAAGTTCGCACGAGATGGTCTCGTTGCTGCTGTCTCGGAAGATACAGGGAAGGTCTTGGATGTTGCCTACTTGACGAGAAGAATCATCAGGAGTATCACAACTGTATAGAAAATCTGTCGAGAAGCGAAAGTTGCGATACATTCCATTCATTGGTGATGGGGATTCCTCCTCTTACAACGGCATTTGCATCGAGAAACCATATGGCGAAACGGTGTATATTCCGAAAGTGGATTGCATAGCCCACGTTACGAAAAGAGTGGGAACAAATTTGAGGTCACTTGTCCGTGACTACAAAGGTTATTAGTTATTACTGCATTCTTACTACAGTATGCTTTGCAGTATACCTATTTATTAAAACGCAAATATGTTGGCATCTGCATGCATGTTTTCGCACGAAGCATACAGGTCATACACATACACCTTTCCTCGGCGTCATTATGCTCTTTGAAATTAAGACTAAGAGTACATGTTTGAATTTCGAAATGAATTTCATATTCATGAAAATTGTGTAACGTTTTATGACATTTAAAAACATTTCTTAGACTTGCATGTTTGAAAGTAAACAAAATAGCATGCGTTTGTGTGTTGGTATTGCTGTTGTTAGTGTGTCGCGGGTATTAGCGTTGTAGAGAAATGTTTTATCTTGCATGTGCGCAATTTAAAAATATAAAGTTGTGACAGTAATCTAACAAGCTTATTCTATTTTCTTTAAAAGGAAAAAAGCTTGCAGATAGCAAAGGTTTGAGTGGAGCAGGTAGGCTTACCATTGCAAGAATTGACGCCATTCAAAGCTTCTATGGTCTTTGTATTCGCCAAAATAAAGGCAATGGAAAGGCCATGGCCAAGGCTACGAAAGCAATACTGTTCCATTATGCCAGTACTGTGGAAAACCCCCAGCATGACTTTTGTCCAGTCGGAAGTGATTCGTGGTGCTCATACCAAAGGGATATTACGAATAATACTACACTGCATAAACCCATCAAGAATCCATTTCCCCCAGCTATTGACGAAGTGATCAAATCCCTTGTCGACCGTCTGGGTGATGAGCACTTTCTAGCCGGTTGTGAAAGGTGCGCAACACAAAACCCAAATGAGTCCCTACACCATGTTATATGGGGACTTGCCCCCAAAGATCAGTACACTTCTCCTCGTGAAACCAGCTTAGCTGTGAGTCTTCGCTGTTTGCTGTTCAACAGCGGAATGGAAATTACGTACACGCAGTTACTGCCGAAAATAGGGTTATCTGTAGATGAGAAAATGATGAATGCGTGGCAGAAAGTGGATAAGAAGAGAATAGACACCGCAGAGTATAAAGAGAAGTCAGCTGTAAAGGAACGTAGGAAGAAATATAAACGGCAGAGGGCAAACAAAGCTGATGGATTTGTACACAAAGAGGGGATTCAATACAAATCACAGGATTTCTGGTGATGGTGGGAAAAGTGTTCCTGCTGCAAAGGGGAAGGGAAGGAGAAAAACACAGAGAAAGTGTAAGAAAAAGAGTTAGAAACTCTGTTCATAAGGCCTGTTTTAGACAGCGTGCCTTTCATGTAACATTATGCTAAAAAATTTTGAGGGGTTATATGTACAATTGCATTAATTGTACATATACAAGCATAAATGTGCATGATTTAGTCCACAAGTATGAACGAAGTACTGAAGACTGCTCAATATGATATAGATTATAGACATAAAGCAAATACGCAATAGTTTTTATCCTACAAAAAGTTGTCCACAACATTGTTTCATACAGTAGGAATCATCACTATAGGTGGTCCTGATAATTCCTAGGCTACAGAAACGGACTGTTGTGGACAAGTTTTGGCGATTATTTTATATACCACATTATGTAAAGTACACATTTTTTAACTATTTATTGTAAATACTTCTATTGTACTGTGAAGCAATGATTATCTTCAACCATGGATTGTAAAATAAATGGATTGTAAACTTCTGACGTCATTGACTGAATCCTTGTTGAAAAACGTGACGTCACGCGTATTGCGAATGTTACCAAAGTTCTCGGCATATTTGTTGTTTTGCTATATTTTCCACTTCAAAAGGGTGATCTTGAAGCGTAAACTGGTCTAATTGTTTTAAAAACATGCCTAAGCCACGACAAAGTATTCAAGGTAAATGTTTTTCGTCTTTGTTTTGTATTTTTTTACATTTGTAGCTACGAAATTGGCGTCACAAATTTTAACGAAATTTGCGATGTATTTTTCACTGTTTAGTGCTTGAAATATTTGCTAAAATTGACTGGGAATACCTAGAGTTTTCATCGTAGAATGGCGTGGTTACATTTACTTGCTCTTTGATTAGCTGTATTATTGCTAAACATGCCGTTTTTGAGAATTTGATTTTCAACTAGGTTGAGGCATCCAACCACGCCATCAATCCAGGTAAAAACATTAGGTCACGTCAGCTAGTTTCCTATCCATTTATTTTATTATCCATGCTTCAACGAACAGTTCCTGCACGATAATATTTGACATTGCATGTTCTTTAGTAAAAAGCAACATAATTATTATATATTCAAATAATTAATAACAATGGTTAGATGATGTTAGACTTAGCTGCTTTTCGTTTCCAGACAACCTTATTTTATAAGCTGAACTAGCAAACAAACAATATTTAGGAATGACAGAAGACTGTGTAATTCGTTTTTACTTTATAGTCATAGGCTTTTTTTACGGCAAATTTTGGCTTACGTGCATGCACGTAAAAATGAAAAATAATAGTAATATATTCCTGTAAAACTAAAGAGCTTGGCCGAGCCTGCACTCAAAATATTTACTATTCATTCGAAACATGAAACAAAACGTTCAACAGACACATTTAGTATATACATTTTAGTATTGGATTCTACTTTATACAGCAATGCATGAGTCCATTGACAGTAATGAATGTAGCGTATTCTTCTCGGAGGCTTTCCTCTTTTTTGTCGGTAACGCTTGTTTCAAGGTTCTTTACGAAACTCGTCCCGTCGATTCTGCATTTGAAATATTATCTTCATTCAGCGTTTGAAAAAACTGTCACAGGCAAAAGTGTAAATAAGAATAACGCACATACCCAATAGTTCTCATCTCCTGAAGAAGAGTGTCTTTGCTTTCAGCTCCAGGTGAATCCTCACTTGGCTCTTGGTCGCGCACCACAGATCTCCTACATTTACGTTTTGCTGATTTAGTTTGCTCCTTATTCGCTTTGCTCTCCCTATCTTGGCGTTTTCCCGGCATATTTAATGTTTTTGTTTTGCCTGTTACGCACTTATAACAAACTAGATCATCAATAAATGACGCACAACCACCTTGCCAAAAGTACTTTGATGAGGTTCGATCTGATTGGCGCTACAGTTCGAAGTGAGAACAGAGGGCGGAGATACACAACAGGGAGCGGAAAAACCCCGCGAAATCTCTTTTAGCCTTTTACACAGAATGAAATATTCTCAGATTGTCCTCACAAAAAGACTAATGCACCGTGCACGTTTTATCCGATTCCTTCCAAACTTTGCCACAATGTAGAACAATTGTTAAGGAGCAAAAGTGTGTTCGCGTTTTTCGTTTAACGCCATACTTTTCGAGTTATAGGCATTCGTTCTACCGTGTATACAAAATTTGTGTAAGTCAACTTGTCTGCTTTATATCAAAGCAAATACAATAGCTGTCAAAAAATGCGAACACACTTTTGTTATTTGATCATCTGAGATGGGAAATATGATGTTTTGCAGGTCGTAGGGTTAAATCCGCGGCGTGCAAATCTCGTGACGCAAAGGAGGTCAGATTTTCAAAAGTAGTCCGTAGCAACCACAGTGTTTTAAAATATAACATTTTTGTTAAATTGCTGGTTACAATAATGATTTATCATCACGTACACAAAATTTGACGGCAAAAGCGTAAAAATTGAGCGCGCGGTGAGCATTTTTGTTAAACGCCATTTCATCATGTGGAGTAACCTTAAAAGGCAGTTTAGTTTTATAAAGAACACTAGTGACTTTAATTAAAACGTTTTGCGAAGCGTTCTTGGTTAAATTTTACCTTAAATTGAGGCTTATATTACATATAATAACGTACCTAACATATATATGTTGGGAAATGAATAATTTTGTAATTAAAAGAGATATTTTTAGGCAATTTTTCATTTGTAAGAATATTCTTAAAAAAAATATCGTGTTACCATGACAACTACTTTAGATACTTCATGGTCGAAAAATACAATGGTTTTGTCAGCAAGGCGAGGGTTTGTGCATGCATGTATTTTCTAATTATATTTAAATGACCGATTTTAAAGCCCTTTAGTTTTAGTGTGGCGGATATGTGCATGGATGTTTCCGAAGAGGGTTAGAAGCATCAAATTGTGCACAGTAGCATCTTTTTATGAGTAGAACAACATGCAAAAGTGGGGGCTTCGTGAAACTGTTTTTTTTTTAGAGAGCTACGATGCTATTAGCATTATTTGCTATTAAATGCTACTACAACAAAAAATGTGAAATTTTGAATTCAATCGCGACAAATATAACTTGCATCATCAGAAAGCTTGTAAAAAACTACATAAAAGACTTTTAAATTAAACAGTTTTTCGATTCTTCAAATGGTTATTGCTGTAAATTAGGCACATTATCTCGCTAAAAGTCCCTAATTAGTTATTCGATGTTTGAAAATGCGTTTTTAACAGTTTATAATTCGAAAACTATTTCAGAAATCAAAAAACTGTCTAAATGTCTTATGTGCACTGTTAATTTGAAGGAGTAGATACTACTCCAAAAAAGGAGTAAAAAAAAAGGTACCAGTTCTCTCTGTTTTGGGAGTATTTTTTACTCCAACATTTTAACTCCACTTTTAGAGTACTTTCTACCTCACTAATGGAGTAATATTTACTCCAACAGGAGTAATAAATACTCTAATTTAAAATTTTACTCTCATTTTGGAGTCAAAAATATACCAAAAGTGGAGTAATATTTACCCTCACAGGAGTAATAAATACTCCAGTTTAAATTTTACTCGCATTTTGGAGTCAAAACTATACCAAAAGTGGAGTAATATTTACCCTAACAGGAGTAGTAAATACTCTAGTTTAAAATTGTACTCTTATTTTGGAGTCAAAAACATACCAAAAGTGGAGTAATATTTACCCTAACAGGAGTACTAAATACTCTAGTTTAAAATTTTACTCATTTTGGAGTCAAAAATACACCAAAAGTGGAGTAATATTTACCCTAACAGGAGTACTAAATACTCTAGTTTTAAAATTTTACTCTCATCTTGGAGTCAAAAATATACCAAAAATGGAGTAATTTTACCCTAACAGGAGTACTAAGTACTCTAGTTTTACGCTCATTTTGGAGTTAAAAACATATACCAAAAGTGGAGTAAATTTTATTCCTTATGAGTTATGGGGGTGTAAATTACACTAAAAATATGAACAAATAGTAAAATTGCAATGAATAAAGGAAGAAAATTTTAATTAACATAACACTTTGATCATAAGTACAAGGATTATATATGTTTTGCTGGTTAATGCTTACCCTGGTTCCAGAGGCTCTTTGCAAGGCGAAATAAACGAGAGGCGAGAAGGAAGAGCCTCCGGTCACATCGGTTGCAAATTCCACTTCCACACTTGGTTAGGTTCAGAATCTCAATCTCCCATGTGATTGGCCATTTGTAAAAATATGTCAAACCGGTTTGGGAAATAAACAAGCTAACTATAGCTATTATTAATAGCTATAATTAGCTTACAGTAATGTTGTTTTGCCTCGCAAAGAGCCTCTGGAACCAGGGTAGTTAACGCTTTGAAAAAGATTTGTTCGACCTAAGTTAAAAAAAATTCTTACAAATTCTTTTAAAAATTAAAGTCCTTACAAATTCTTTTACACTACAATTTGCCCATTCTGCAAAATTAATTCCCACCGTGATGACAGAAACTTTGATAGCGCAGCATTCAGGTATAAGTACAAAAATTTACATGCATTCAATTACAAGTATACTAATACTGCATGTTTACTAGCAACATGCATGATGCAGAACACGTACTGTAGCTCGGTTAATTGTTAAAATGTTATTCAAGTTCTTGCAAATATTTGTTGATTGCAACCCTTTTTTAGCTTCCCTAGTTCTCTGCATCATCGCAGCTTCCAAAAACAGGAATACATTTGTGCTTGACAGTTGACACAAGGTATTCTGGCAATATTGAACACTTAATAGCAACTTACAAGATGCGCCAACACATTCTCAATTGTTATTGAACTGTTAGGTTTCATCAGGATCTTGCCCTCTCTAGCGATGTACAATGGCTTTACATCACCGGACGTGACCAGCCCCCACAAGTCTTGGTGCGACTGATGCTTCAATGGCATCATCAATAGGTTTTTCACCCTGTTTGAAATTGAATTTAAGGAAAATCAGATTTTATAGTAGATGGACTTGGGGAACAGATCTCTTTGGGGGTGGCATGGGTAC